GGAGAAGACCGCCGGAGAGGGAAACGTCATCGCCGGGGGGAGCGGGAGCAGGGTGGTCCTCTTCGACCAGGGCCGGAGGGGTCCCGGCGGGAGGGCCTCGCACCGGTCCGTCGGCGCGGTGGGAAGGAACACAAGAGCCAAAGACGAAAACGAAAACGAAAACGAAAACGGAACCAAAAACAAGCCCAACGAGCCAGAACCAGGAAGGCGCGGGGCCCGGGAACCCTTCGAGGTCCGCCTTTGCGACGACGCGAGCGACCTGGACGGATCCGACCTGCAGTTCGACCACGGGTGCCAGTTCTTCCGAGCGGACTCTGCCGCCATGGGAAGCCTGGTGGAATCGTGGTTGGAAAAGGGATGGGTGGGGGAGTGGGGGGCCCGCTTTGGCAGCCTCCCCGAGACGAGCCCCAAAAGGCGGGATCGCGGAGCCGTGCCGCTGCCGGCAGACGGCGGTGGCAGCGGCAATGGCAATGGCAGCGGCGCGATCGATTTTTTTGGCATCCCGCCCCTCCCGCGAGATTCCGGCAGCGGCGGCAGAAACGACGCGGTGTACATCGGAATCGGGGGCATGCACCTCCTCCCGAGGCGCATCCTGGAGGAATCCCTATCCTCTTCCTTCCTGGAGGTCCACAGGGGAACCCGCGTCAGCGGTGTAACGCGGCGGGCCCGAAGCAACGACGAGAGCAACGACAAGAGCAACGACGAGAGCAACAACGACAACAACGAAGGCCTGTGGGACCTGACGACCGCCGTGGGGACCGCTGCCTTTCACGACACCAGCGAAGCAAGAGCGAGGGAAGAACTGGCGCGTGCGGCACCCAAAGCTTCGGGAGCCTCGCCRCCGCTGCCGTGCGGTRGCAACAAGAGCGGCAACGACGAAAGTCCAAACGACAAGGACAACGGCAACGACAGGACCAGCGAGACCAAGGCCCCGGCCGCCACGACCCGCGTGGTCCTCCACGCCGGCTTCGACGCGGTCGTCTTCACCGACGTGAGCGCGTCGTCTGGGTCGTGGCACAGGGCATCCGCCGGGATCCCCCGATCCTTTTGCGGGCGCCTCCCCCCCAGGCTCCGGGTCCCGCTCTTTTCCTGYATGGTGGCCCTCGAGCGGCCGATCAGGGACAAGCTCCCCTTTGATGCCTTTGTGGCGCACAGTGGTGGCACGGACGGGGGAAAGCAAGGACACCACCCCGTCCTGTGGTTTGCTTCCTGCTCCGATGCCAAGCCCGGGTTTTTCCCGGGGGCCGGCGGAAGCAGCGAAGGCGAAAGCGACGACAAGGGCGTCTCCAGGCCCGAGTGCTGGACGCTCGTCTCGACCCCCGCTTTTGCCGTGGCCGAGATCAAGGAGACCACCATGCGGGACCCGGTGACGGGGGAATTCCGCCCGCAGGAAGACGCCTACCTCAACTCCGGGCCCGGCCCGAGGCTCTTCGAGGCCTTTTGCGGCCTCGTCCGGCCCTACCTGCAGCCCGAAACGGACGGACCACGGTCGGAATCACCACCCAACGACCCACGCCTTTCCCCCCGAGCCGTGTACCTGCAGGCCCAGCGGTGGGGATCCGGCCTGCCGATCGATCCCGGGCGGGTCCCCCTCTGCCACCGCGAGGAGGTCTGCGGGACGTGGTACGCGTCCGACACCGGGGGCTCCCTGGTGTACGAAAGCGGTGAACCCGAAGGCAAAGACGATCCGACCCCCGGCTTTGTGGCGGACGACCAAAAGGGCCTGTACTACGCCGGGGATTTTTGTTCTTCGTTCAACCCCGGGTTCGAAGCCGCGGCCCTGTCCGGGTGGGACCTGGCGAGGCACATCGAGGGCCGGCTGCGTTGAGCGAGACCCGTGGACAACAGTGCATCGGCGTTTTTCGTGGCAGGCTTTGGAAAGCACGCAACGGAACCGCAGCAAAGCGCCAATTGAGCGACAGCGACACCACGGTGGCAGCACGCCGAAAGCACCGTGTGTTGGAACGGAACGAAACGAAACATTTTTTTGAAAGACCAGTTTCCGAAAAACCGAGGGAGGAAAAAAGGATTGGTGAACCACTAGAACGGAACCAAAGCCGACTTTTTGAAAGGAAATCCCAGCGGCAGCTGTAAAAAGTTTGGTGGAATCGTTTTGAGATGCGGTTTGTAGCGGAGATGGAGTTTTCGGATTCCGGTGCAACATTCATTCCTCGGATGCCTTGTTCCAAAAATATTGCCATACCGTGGAGAGTTCTTTTCAACATCGTCCTCTTCTCATTGATCGTATCTCTTACAGAACTTGATCCAGCATCTCTGGAATTTTGTCGCAAAACATTTCTTGCGATCAATATAGCAGTATTACAATACTAGCATTCGATTGAACTTGAGTTCCAACTTCGACTACTATAATTAGTAGTGGAAGAATTATATTGCAGTGGGGATTTGTCTGAAGTTTAGTAGTATTCAAGAAGCTATTGCAGTCGGTTACTGCTGCTGAGCAGAGAGCTGCCAATATTGATAGCAGTACAAGACAAGAAGTTTTTATCGTACTAGGGACGAATGATATTATTTGTACTTGTACTAGTATTCGTGCAATGCTCTCTATTTTTTATAATTAGTTTAGCCAGCAAGTATAATTTTGATGCGGGAAAGAGCGGTGGATGATTGTTTGTTTCGTACAGCATTACCAATAGGATTGGTAACAACGTTGGACTCACTCAGACGAGTCGTTCGGAGGTTGTTGCTTGTTGCTGCTAAAGTACTATTTCGTGGAACGAATAAATGGCATCTATTATATCAATATCAATGCCGTTGTTGTAATAATCGATAGAAGGTGGTTGGACACTGTCCACATTGAAGGATCAGTGTACGGTTTCGCAGCTCAAGGGCAGTGCTCCTCCATCTGGCAAATGATCGGGATTCGTGGTTTCCCGTGACCTCGGCAACACATCACACTCTCAGCACCTTGTAAATCCCAGCATACTAGTTGCCGGTGATACCAGTAGCACCTCGGTAGTCATACCGTACCAATATCGCTGATACCTCGACATCCAGTCAAAACAGAAAGACGGCATGTACCGCGTGGATCCGTATTGATATCGTGCTTAGTATAACTGTATCTTGCTTCTATGATTATTGTTCGGAGTTGTGCGCAATAGTATGATCTTTTTATTATTGTTATATTATTTTAGCGGTTGTGTGCATGATGAAAATGAGAAATTTTTGGAACTGCGCCTTGTTATGGACTGCACTGCACAACTGCTGTAATGCGAATCCATGGTCGCTTCTGGAAGGAAACACGTCAAAGACGACGGATTCCTCCGTATTCTACCGCTTCGATCTCGGTTCTCGTCCATTCTGCGTATGTACAACGAGAGGTAGAGGAAGATCCTACAAACACCAAAAACGAGGCAACCCCCAGCTGCTATTGTATCGCCGCAACGCAACGCAACGAAACGAATCCAATTCAATCCAATCGAATCGAGTCGAAATAACCGACCTAGTTTCCTTGCCAGCCACCGGATTGGGCGGCGGTTCCGCTCCATCCACCGGCTCCGGCCTGATTGGGCCATCCACCGCTCGAGGGAGCCGAGTCGATTCCTTGCTGGCCCTGCAGTCCAAAGGCTTGCTGGCCACCGAGATTGTGGGGACCGCCCTGGAACTGTTGCTGGAGTGTGGAATTGTTGTTGCTGCTGCTGCTGTTGTTGGCGCCGCCGCGTCCCCCCTTTCTTCCCTTGTTGTGGTCGTCGTCTTGGAATCCCGAGTGGATTCCTCCGTGGGGTTCGTGCTGCTGCTGTTGTTGTGGTTGCATGGCGGCATAGGGATCCGACATGGCTCCCTGTGCGTGTCCGTGGTATCCCATTCCGTAGGGTTGTCCTCCGTGTCCACCATATCCACCGTGTTGCTGGGGATTGTATTGGTTTTGGTATTGGTTGTTGCTGTGGGCATTTCGGCCGCGGTATCCACCGCCTCCCCCGCTCTTGTTTTGGTAGCCTCCGGATCCGGAGTGGTGTGAGCTGCCCTGGTGGCCCTGATCGTCGTAGTGGTTGTGGGAGGCACCGTAGCCGAGGTTTTGGCCCATGCTCTGCGGGTATCCGAATCCTCCCTGGACACCTCCGAATTGCTGGTGTCCACCGTATCCGTAGTTGTATCCGATACCCTGCTGCTGGTGTCCGCCCATGGCATAGAACTGGTGCTGGGCAGCGGCGGCGTGCTGGGCTCCGTAGTGGAGGGCAGCCGGGTTGGCGTAGGGGATCGCGCTGGGCATGCCGGGGGGTACACCGGCGGAGGGAGCGGGCGTCGAGGCATTGTCGGAGGCCGAGTTTCCAGTGGCGGAGTCTCCGCGGCTCGCGTTGACAGCCGACGAGGACACGCCTGGAGGGGCTTGTGTGCCATAGAGTCCCTGCTGGGGTAGGCTGTTGCTGTGGCCTCCGAGCTGGTCCGGTTTGCCGGGTTGCTGCTGGGGCATGCCCCCGAGAACGGGTTGCATTCCACCAAGATAAGCACCTCCGGTGTTGTAGTTGTACATGCTGGGCATGACGTGCTGTTGCTGGTGCAGTTGTTGTTGTTGGGTGTAGTTTTGTTGCGTGAGTCCGGTGGGAAGAACRGCATTCTGTCCCATGGCCGGTGGAGGTGCGTGGGTTACCGGAACCTGCCCCTGTTCCGTGACGTTCTTGGAGTTGTTGGTCAGTGAGGCACCTTCTAGCTTGGTTTCCAGTTCGTGAACCATAACGGCGCTTGCGGGCATGGGAGGCATGCCACCGATGGAAAGACCGGGTGGTGGCCTAGCGGGCGAAACCGAAGTCGTAGCTGTGGTAGCAGAGGCCGAGAGAGAGGAAGCGGTGGGTTTTGGCTGGTCCTTGCTTCCGTTGTTGCTGCTGCTGACCACCTGTTGGACAATGTCCTTGGTGTTCGAGTCGGAAACAGCGCCAAAGGATCCGAATCCAAAATCGATGTTGTCCGTATCGTCGGATCCTCCCGTGTCCCATCGCCCCATGTTCAACACCTTCGGGGGTGCTGGGGGAGCCGGCGGTTGCACCGAAACGGGTGCGGGTGGCTCGGAAACCACGGGCTTTTCCACAATCGGCTGCGGCTCGGCTTGTGGCTCCGCGGGTGGTTCGGGAGTGGGAATGGGCAGTTCCATCGAGGAAGGGGCAGCCGGTGTGGGCTCTGGTGCGGATTCCTCTTTTCCCCAGGACGACGGGATCCCGGTTTCGAGTGTGGGAGGTTGTTGTGGTTCGGAGGCGGTTGGAGTTGGGGCTGGCTCGGTGGCGGCAGCCGCGGGTTCTTCGGGAGTCGGTTCTTCGGGGGCAATAACAGGAGCGGGTGTAGGAGCAGGCACGGGTTCTTTTTCGGCCTGGATCAAATGCGCGGATCCCTTGGTGGCCCAAACGTTGCCACTCGGGACGAGGGCGGGTGCGGTGCTTGTGGCAGAGGAAATGCCGGGTGGCAGCGAAACGGGAACAGCAGAACCAGGGTCCATCGAAGAAAGGGCCGGATTGGCGGCTTCGGCGTTGGGAGCCGCCGGAGCGGCTGGTTCCGAAGCCTCCGASGCCGCAGCGGTCGCCGTGGAGGGAACTTCGGTGGCCGCCGCCGAGTCGTCCCTTGCTGCTGCCAGAGCCTTCGCGCTCGATTTCGCAGAAGCCTCCGTTGGTCCGGAGGCCGCTGTTTTGGCACGGGCTCCCCAGGCCCCCTTCAGAGCGGGGGCCACAACGGGGGTGGGAATTCCCACGGGAGGAACGGGAGCTTCGGCTACCTGTGGCGCCGTCGCAGTCGCACCTGCCGCAGCAGCGTTGTCTCCTCCCTCCGTCTTCGRGAAGGATTTCTTGTGGTCTTGCTTGCCGTTGCGATCGCGGTTGCGATCCCGATCACCGTCGTCTCTTTTGCCTCGTCCTCCGCCTCGGCCACCGCGGGGTCCTCCACGGCCATTTCCTCGACCACCTTGGTCTCGGTCTCCTCGCCCGCCTCTGCCACGGCCACCCATCGCGCGTTTCTTTGGTTTTTCCCGCTTGGAGACGGCTTCCCACGATTCTTCCTGTGTCGGAGCGGGTTCCTCCCACCACTGCTGGATCTTTTCCATGATCTTTGTTTCATCGCCGTTCAGTTGTTTGAACAATTTGTCGAGATCTTTCTTTTTGTGCGGGGGACAAGCGCCTCGCAGCTGGGTGTGTTGAATGGATGGAATGAGATTGGATCGGATTGGATTGGATTGAATATGACGTAATAAAGTATTGGACGTAATGCGATGTTTTGACACGATCGCATGGCGGATCGAGGCATCACAGTGCGTTCAATTCGCATTTGGAAAGCATCGAAAACGAGACATGGATGGATGTCAGAATAGGGATTGCGGGGCAACGTTGTCCACGACACGGCATCATTGTGGTAAAGAGACAACAAAAAGAACGAATGGACGTAATGCGATGTTTTGACACGATCGCATGGCGGATCGAGGCATCACAGTGCGTTCAATTCGCATTTGGAAAGCATCGAAAACGAGACATGGATGGATGTCAGAATAGGGATTGCGGGGCAACGTTGTCCACGACACGGCATCATTGTGGTAAAGAGACAACAAAAAGAACGAAAACAGCAGCAGGAACAGCAAGACAACAAAAAGAACGAAAACAGCAGCAGGAACAGCAAACAAGAGCAAAGCGATGAGTGAGAACAAGAGTCTTGAATTATTTGCGTACAATCGCACCATCACATGCAAGGCGACACAACACCATCACATGCATAGACATCCCGCAGTCGGTTTGGAGGACACCAATGAAATGGCTGGCCGGAATCGACCAAAAATTAATTTCCCGAACAACCTTTGTGTAACAAAGCGATTCCTTGAATTGGGGGATGTGGGAATTTATTTCCTCAGAAATGACCGAAATCCTTCGCCCAGACAGACGGCGACGACTCGACCAGAAACTCGACTCAACTCACATTCTCGAGCATTGCGGAATCTGTTTTGCTGTTCTTATTTTTGTAGCCACCGCGGCCTCCGTTGGATGATGGCATTGYGTTGTATTTTTAATGTAGTTTTTTTCTAGGAATTATCGAAGGATCAAAACGGAAGAGAACGTCGACGACAGGTAGCAAGTAAGTTGGTTGTTGTTGTGGCTTGTTTTTTTTTGTGTGCGGATACGAGTGCCCGTACTGCGAAACAAGCGAGCAATGCCTGCTTTGTTGAGAGATTAGAGTGAAAAGGACCCAGGATGGACAGACCCAGCTAAGGCCCGAAATTCGCGGTCCATAAAGGAATGCGGGAATAACAATATCTTTGGCGTACGGCACCGCTGGTACTAGTACGATTCCGTACGGAACTGTGCTGTAGAGAGGCGTGCATGCATGCATGCAGTGTCTTCTATTTTGGATGGTTTTGCAGCTGCGCGATTGGACGCGACGCGTCGCGAGCATCATCTGTCGCCGCTTTCGTCTTCTTTCCTCTTCTTTTCGGAATCACCGTAGTAGGGTACCAGGTGGTACCTGTACCGTACCCAGTACTCGTATGATTCGTTCGTACTTATACGAGTAGCATGTCTGTCTTAACCCTTGACATATCCTACGGCGCGGCACGTACGTGTGTGACACGGAGCGTCCGTCTCGTTCGTAACGCTATCGTAAAAGTGCGTACGAGTTCTTCTCCGTGACCGGACTAAGGTACGTACGAGTACGTACCGGGACACAGGGGTCATAAGTATTAGAAGTATTTTTTGATGTCCGTCCTTGCGCCGCGCATTTGGCATTGGACTCCGRTCTCGTGTTCATTGGTTTTGGCTTTCTTGTACAAAACCGTAGGGTAGGTAAGAAACGTACCGTACTCGTGCTGTTATTCGTGAATGACGGAAGGAACGACTCGGGTTTTCTCAAGCGTGGTCTGCTCGATCTGCCGCGGTTCTTTTTCCGTTGTGGATCGATAGAATAAGAATACTCTGTCTAACGGTAGTAACAGAACACGTACGAGAACAAATTCGAACCGCACATATTCGGTTCTGCACGATCGCATGTGCCCTCTCCAAACAGGGAACTATTCTACCGTACAGTATCTTAACGAGTACAGTAACTGTAATGCCGAGAAAAACCGTTAACCACGACCCCCCTGCGAACTGTTTTCTAGAGTACAATTACCGTACGTACAGTAAGGAACGACGTTAAAACCAGTACGGTAATCGGAGAGTAGGTCGCGCAACCCGGTGTCGTCACACCACGGTGCTACTAAGCAAAACACTAACGGACATTTTTTGTTCGAACGATGGGGGCAGAATTTTTTTATATTTCATCTGCTCTCGAATGAACGATTTTGTGAATCGAGAATCATCATCGTGTCGGTATGGCACAACATACTGTGACAGCGCATGAACATATCACAGTGAACACTATTGTATCGCTATCTAAAAGTATTCATCGTTCGGTATCCACTGCCGAGAGAACATCAACTTGCATCTAGCGTCATCTCCTCCCAGCTTTTGCATATATCATAGAACCTTCGATCACCGGCAGTACCTATCGAAGAGACGAAAAAACGAAAGATTCGAAACTGAAGAATCCGAGTCCTACTACGTTCGTTATCACTTTTCTTTAGCTACCACTTTACCGCACCATGGCAACGGATCCCACAATACCGGTGAATACCGGCACTAACTACGTGAGCATGTCCGAGGAGGGGAACGACGGTCCCGCCGGCGTCTTCAAGGACAGCGAGGCAGCAGCACCCGGTGSCGAACAGGACGACGATCTGGACGACATCCTATCGCTTGCACCTTCCATCGCCTCGTCCGTTCTGACGGCAGATGGAATCCACGATCCCGTGGGTTTTGCCATTGTGTGCCTGGTGATCCTCGTCGGGGACATGGCACGGGGGGTCTTCTTTCCGACCATGTGGCCACTCGTCGAAGAACTGGGTGGGAGCACGGTCGCTCTGGGATATTCGGTAGCCTCGTTTTCCTTTGGGCGGATCCTGGTCAGTCCGAAGTTTGGGGGGTGGAGCGTGACCCACGGGTATTCCAAGACGCTCCTCTTTAGTTGCTCGATCCTGTGGGTCGGAACCATTCTGTACACCCAGGCCCAGAACGTCGGCCACGTGGGCTTTTTGATCTTTTCGCAGATCGTCCTGGGGCTGGGTTCGGGGACCCTCGGTGTCACCCGGGCCTTTGTGGCCGACGTTACGGCCCAGCGGAGCCGGACAACCTACATGGCGTGGATCACGGCCGTTCAGTACGGTGGATTTACCGTGACACCCTTTGTCGGGTCCTTTTTCACGAAGGTCCTCAAAGACAAGGAGTACCGGTTTGGGTGAGTTCTATGTATACCATTGTGATACAAATTATTCGCCGCAGATGGAGTTTAGTAGCTCTGTCGTTGTCATCCGTGTCTGGGCATGATTTCGGCATGAGAATCCGCGGGATCTCGGATCTCGGATTGAACCACCATATTCAACGCGGCGTTATTTTTCGTGAATGTTTTTTTCAAATATTCGTTTTTGCAGAGAGCGTTGCTTTGACAATCAAATATCGCATAGGACGATGTAGAATATCTTGTTTCAGCTTGTTGTGTGCAAATTAACAACGACGTTCGTAATTCTCACAGCTCTTCAAATTCTTATCGGTTATGTGTGCAAAGGTTGTTCCGCTTCAATCAGTATACGGCACCCGCCTACTTTATGAACCTCGTTATCACCGTGACAATCATTCTAATGCTGAAGTACTTCCGTGATCGGGTCCGAATGTCCGCACTAAAGAACAACAAGAAAAAGTCTGCCAAGAGAATGACCATCGAAGATGCTGCCAACCGTGTTACCGTGACGGGGCTGACTGTCTATGACTGCTGCATCTTGGGCTGCATGCTCCTCAATGTTTCGACCAAAGGCAGCATCAGTGCATTTGAAACCCTCGGGGTATCGATTGCCCAGTCCCAGTTCGACATGCCCTCGTCCCAGGCCGGTGTGATTGTGGCGAGTTGCGGGTCGATCGGGGTGATCGCCCTCCTGTCCATGGGACAAMTGGCACGCTTTCTGACGGACATTCAGCTCATTTGCGGAGGGATGGCGATAATGTGCTGTGGGGTCTTGAGCCTTGGATTTTTGGAGGCGGATGTCACTAATCCATCATGGAAATTCTGCACAGCAATCTTTCTCATTTATTCAGTTGGGTATCCGATCGGCCACACAGCCGTTATTGGGCTCTTTTCCAAGAGTGAGTTGTCGTCTCGCACAGCATTGCACAGCACCATTTTCGTTCGCACTTCACCAAATGTACCGCACAAAGTCCATTGGTACCGTGGAATAAATCATATGTTACCTTGTGGTGGTTCTAACATTTCACTCAATTTCCCTGTCTTTCTTTGTCTCATTGTTAGTCGTCGGCCGGCGACCACAAGGAGAACTGCTGGGTTGGTTCGCCTCAGCTGGATCACTGGCTCGGTTGTGCTTCCCAATCATGGCGGGATATCTCACTAATTTCTTCGGGATTTCGGCGATTTTTTTCGTCCTCCTCATTGTCCTGTCTGTGTCAATTATCATCACCATGTACAGCCGCCATACGCTGGAGTTTTTGTCACAATAAGAGAAAAATAAAACACACGAAACGAAACGAAACTGCAATGAAGGTGCAGTTGTACAGTGGAGGAGTACACACCATGAATTATGAATCATCATAAGTACCAATCAATGAATACACTCGTCAATTCCATCGCCCATACACGAATGGGCATTGCGCGGCCCTTTAAACGACAAACCAAGGGTACGCAGCAGCAGCAGCAGCAGCAGCAGTAGCATGAACACAAAATAGACCAATTAAAGCTGCTAGTAGAACGAAGAATTTTTCAAGCTCCTGCAAAGCAAACTTCCTCGGATATCGTTCCCTATACAGAGGAAGCGGGTAGGATAGCTCTATTAATATACTTTAGGAGGAATGTTTGGGATCCGAATCCTTGATTTCATGTTTGATTTTATCTTCTCTAGTAATGTCCAGAAATACTGCACAATTTGAACAGTAGCAACGTGTGCTATACTTTGGGTTGCACTTGTCAATATTCTGCTGATAGTATACTTCTTCTTGCAATMTTTCTTGGTGATACTTCTTGTAATTGATGCCGTGTACTACTACAAAAATCACAACAACTTATATGTGGACTAATCAATTGGTTTCCAACCAAATTTTCTTCAGTGCAAATAATTGAACTGGGCTTTAAAGAGCAATTGCTCTCCAGTTTTAATGACATGGTTTTCAACCACTTGTGAGTTGAGAAAGAAGCTCAATTGGGTTTGGGCCACCACCARAATATTTGAAAAATAACTCAATAAATTCAGTCTTACTATTTCCCATTATTAGTATGAAAATGACCAGAACCTTAATATTGTTGATGGTGGAAACCAATAGGTTCTTGTCCAAATAAACTTTTGTGAAATTCCCACTAATTTTYTTATTTGTTTTGATAGTAGTGTTATGTTTTTTGGTGTTTATTATTCTCAAATATTGCTCTTATCCATAATGATAAACTTCATCACTGGTACTACTAGTACACTGCCTTATTTACAGCAGTCATGGTGCTAGCAAAATGATTGTGTTAGTAGTGGTTTCCTCTTGTCCTATTTTGCATCATTGGCTTCTTTTGGCCTCTCCTATTTGAAAAAACAATTTGTTCTTGGAAACTACTTCTTTGTCACATTGCTCTTTTACCAACATATTGTTGTGATCAAAATAGTAAATAGTAACATAAATGAAGTGCATTTGCACCACAAAAATGATTGCATACCAGTACTAAAGAACAACAACAGACCAGCACTAGTAGTACCAGTATTGGTAGCATGAGTGAACAACAACAACAACAATAGAAGCTGCTGCATTTTTTGCCCTTCCCAAACTTTGTCATTATAGTATTAGTAGTGGTTCCTTTTATATTTGTACTCTTCTTACGAGTAGTCTAGTAAGTTTTCAAAATGTTCTACTATGCACAGGATACGACATGGTGGCTTGTTACTCCTTTTTTCTTGTAGCCAGCAATATACCTTTCTCCTCCTTTTCTAAATAGTAGGAGTACTAGAAGTAGAATTTTTTGCTTTATTAGTGGCTGCACTGATTGTCAACATGAAACTCTCAATTTTTTATTTCCCTTCTCTAGTGGTAGTACTACTACTACTACTACTACTACTACTACTACTACTACTACTACTACTACTACTACTACTAGTACTAGCCAAATTGTATTCATCTTTGATTGATGCCTGCTGTAGCATCCAGTAGGTGCTTGAAAGAACTCAGCAGTAATCAATTACTTATTACAAGGGTCAGTATTGTACTAGAACACAAAGTGTGGGCTGACAAAGAACCATCTAATTTTAGGGAGGATATGACCTTCTGTCACCATTTTTCAGAGGGTTGCTGCTGAAGGAAAACTTTACAGACCAAACAAAAAGTAGATCACTGTTCTATTAGTATCAACATCATGATTATTCTCTTCAGTAGTGTTTCCTGGATGTCAAAGTAGTATGAACCTTGGCTCTCCGACAATCAATGATCCAATTCTGTGGACAGGAATACTCATGGAGGACCTTTTAAGAACCCAAATACTTGTCAACATAGAAATGATCCTCATTCCAGATAACAGGAGGAAGTATAGACATCTTCTCTTGTTGTTATCACCTTGTAGGTGGCGACTGCAATCCACCCCCAAAGAAAAAGTAATAAAATTAAGAGGAAAATGCAAAACATTTTTGTTATTTGGTACCCCTACTGGCTTGCTTCAAATTGACAAATGACACATGGCAAATTATGGTTACCCAGTGACACAAAATCTTAGAATGAAAATAGCAAAGACTTCCACCAGATCCTAGTACAAACTGGACACCTTACTACTATTAGTMCTAGACCAGGGATTTACCACCAGAAGAGATGCAAAGAAAATCAATTGGAAACCAAGAAAGAAGCACAGACAAAACTTGCACAGCCCCTTGGAGCTGCCCAGCATTTAACCCTGATATTCCTTCTTTTCACAAATTTGTTTGTATTACACCAGATTCCAGTTCAGTCAGTAATGGCTACTACTACAAGCCCTTTCAAGTTATGATAAGAATACAATTTGATGATCTTGGAAGGGGAATATTGGTCAATACCAAGACCAGCACAATGACAAGATGCCAATTGATGCTTGCAAGAGGAAGAGGAAGAAACCAGCAGATTAGAAAGAAAGAAAGAAAATTCAGCTTTCAAAAACAAATTACTAAACTGAGAAATCATGTTTCAAAATAAATTACTTTGAGGAAGAGCAGTCACTAATCAGCATCAAGCAGCTGCCATTTTTCAAATTCTTCAAAGCACCACAAGAAGTGGTACACAACAAGAAGAAAGTAATGGCTGTGGTGTACTACACTACTATCCCTACAACAAAGTCACTAAACTTTCTGAAAAAAAATTGTAGGCCTGCTGGATTTGCGACATTGTTATCAAATAYTTCAGATACTTTTGTATGTTGACAAAAACAATCATCCATCTCTAAAGATGATACTAGGGATACTCTTGCTGATTCAGTCCACAATAAAAAAGAACCAGCAAATTATCAAGAAGATTTGACTTTTTACTAGTTCTATCAGTCATTGTCAGATGAAAGAGAACCCATTCCTCCTACAAAAAATAAAAATCARCCATTATCATGATGTTTGCTTATCTAAAAATAAAAAGCCAACTCATTCCTCCTGAAACTGAAAAAATAAGTCACGGCCATCAGCATGATTGGTCATTCCTCCCACAATTGGGACAAGAACCTCCAGCAAGTCATTTTCATGACTGGTTAGTAGTATTTGAAGATCATAAGCTCCTCCCATTCCTAAGAGTTCATAAATTCCATCATCAGCCACAAAACCAGCATCAGCAAGTCTGAACTTAAGACAACATGACCACTAGTAGATACTAAAAGCATCTTGATTGCATAGTAGTTGCATGTCATTAATATTAGCAATTTTAGTTCTACTAGTTCTGGTGGCATTACAAAACTTGTTTTGAGGACAAGCTTTACTAGTAAAATTTCAATATTTGAAGGTTACTACTACTAACATGCTTCTTCTCATCATTGCATTTTACTCTCTGCTACTAATGCTGAATCAAGAACATGATGGTAAAATACTACCACCACCACCACCTTTCAAATCACAAATGGATCCTAGACTGCTTAGTACTTATTGCAACTGCTTAGTACTTAGTGCCAAGAAGTTCTGACAATCTTAAGAAGCAGATTTGGCTCTTGTTTCAAAAACAACAAAGGTAAATAAAGACTTGTTGTCTTACACAGCAGTGTGCACAAGCATAAGGAATATCATTCTCTCTTCAGGAGTGATGATGCTGAGGAGCATACAAATTTAATACAACAGCAACAAGCATTATTTCTCCTTCAAAGTACTAAATGCTAAATATAAAGAAATATGATGATCTGATAAAATCTGAGGACACTACTATTTGTTCACAAAGTGACTTGCTTACTAGCACTGTCTACAGCCACAATTCAATTGGCAGTAGTAGTATTAGTAGTGGGAGGAACTCATCAGACTGACTAAAAAATTCCAAGTCAATATGTTTTTGAGGATTGCAAGAAAATTGTATTCTATACTAGTACAAAGACGATAATATTGATGACGTCYAAGACATCAGTTTACAATCACACCCAAGAAACATGCTAGAATATCTATACCACTACTGGTACGTACTACTAMTACCATAACAAGGAAGAGCACAGAAGCTTTGAGAGGCAGGTGCTACTACTCTCAAACTAATGAGACTGAAAAACTAGTTTTACTAGTACTATTACTATTAGTTCCTTTGACAAATTTCAGGTAGTAGATTTTGTTGACATAATGGGTACTATGGTATACTAGTAGTACTTCTACTATAAGGATCCAGCAGGTCAGATTCTGTTTACAGACAGCACCAGTCACAATAACAAGAAGCTGCAAATTGACACTTCAATTGACACATACAAATGTTCATGCAAAAAATGTGGAGGAGCACTGGTGATGTAATCATCCAAACAAGCAATTCAAGAAGATCCAACTGTAATTGTACTTCACCACCACACAAGTTCAGGCAGTGCTTCTTGTTCCTCCTCCACACCAAATGACTGACAAAATCTCACCAAAAATATGAAAGAATTCAAAAGCTACTATTAGTAGTACCAAGAAGTTTTTAATTCAAAATTTACATAAAGAGGAATCTTTTGATGTTGTCACCCAAGAGACCAATGAGGATGTGGGAACTACTGTCATAACCTTTAGTACTGCATGAAGTGCTGGTTGAAGATCTTGAAAGAAACCAAAAGAAACAAGAATGGGCTGTATAAACCTTGGAATGAACTCCCAGAGGACATTGCTTATGCAAAATACTACACMAATGCATATAAGAAACATGCAATGCATGAAGCCATATTTTCTGAGTTTCTCAAAACAATACAGGACTCCAAATATAWGCATGGCACACTGCCAAATCACACCATCCTAACCAAAGCTTTACACCCAAAGTCTAAGCTCATATTCATGGTCAGACTGGAGCTACGATGCCATTTTCAAAGAAAAACGTCCAGACAAATTGAAGCACGACAAGATCTTCGAAATTCGCGAAAGGGGTCTCTTTTGATCCTCTTTCTTCTGATTTACAAAATATCCTTTTCTCGGAATTCTCTGTGGTAACTATTAACCTAACGAGCACTCCCCACCGACAGCACAAAAATGTGTTGCCTTGAATCTCTGTTTGTTTCGACGTTACCCCTACTTACTTGTATCAGAACAAGAAAGCAGAGTATAACAAGGGAAAACAGAGGCAAGGTTTTGTGAAAACTTGTACTCACGAACCTGGAAGGATTTCACGTGAACTCCCAAATCGCAGATTTTCTTCCTAACAATCATTGTCATATACTTTTTTGATCATTCATACAACAGTCCTAATCGTAGGGCAATCGAGTTGTTTTTTGTTACTAAGTACTATAGTTAGCTGCTTTCCTACCCACGACAGAAACGGTTCCTTCCATCGGTCAGCATCCCGGAGGAACCTCGGCCGAGAGGACGCGGATTTCTGCTTCGATCCCGCGTACGGTCCGGAGGAAGAAAATCTTGCACGACATCTTCGTTTCGTCAAAAACGGTGGAATATTCTGCGAGGCTGATGCAGCCGTCGCCGGCCAGCAGGAGGTGGGACAGGCATCGCTCGCTGCCCTGTCCGGCAGCGCTGTTGTGCCCGTGGTGGTATCGGAGTGCAACTGGCTTGGGGGTGGTTCGGCTGCCGTGGTGACGGAGGCTCATTCCCTTTCCGCGACCGGAAAGAATCACCCGACAGGCTTCCGCGGTGGACAGGGTTCGGAGACTCGCTTCCGCCCTCCATTTTCCGTACACCGGAGACGGGTTCGACGTGATGGCGGGTGGTCGATGAAAGTCTCGTTCGTCGATAAATCCATTTCGGAGCAACAAAGCCTCGGCTTTGGCCTCGTCGTAACCAAAAACAGCACCGTTGTAAAATTCGATCTCTCGGATCAGTTTCAATACTTCGGAAACAACGACCTGCATGCTCCAGTGTTTCTGCTGCTTTGGTCGTTGTCTATCACAATTATTTTGTGGTGGGTGTAGATTGTTGCGCGCAGTGTCGCTGGGGTTATCTCTCAAGAAGATCCAGACTTTTCGATGATCCAGGTTGACTACTTTCTTTTGGTAGCTATACCGAACCTTCGGTCGCGCTTCCCTACAAAGGCGGGGGCGACGAAGCCGATGCGTTTTGCCGTCGTCATCATATTCGTTTTTGATGTTGTTGTCGTTGTCGTTGTTGGGTAGACCTCGGTGTGGATCCCCAGCAGTTCCACTTGCGGGTTGCTGTCTCACTGTGGGGGTGTTTTCTGGAATGAATTMTGTCTGCATGTGTTGTTGTTGTCGTCGTCGTTCTACTTGCTGCCCCGAGTAGTCACATTCGCCTTCCGTGTAATTATTGTTGCCGTGTTCGCAAACACGATCCTCTTCCTCACCACGTGAACAGTGGTGTCGCATTTGTTGCTGTTTCATTTGAACCTTCGGTCGCAGATGCCGTGGCGCTGTGGATGTCCATTGGTTCAGAACGCGTCGATGGAGTTCTTTCGGCACGTCTTCAACTCGAAAGACACGCGAAACGCCGCGGACCGCCAACAGGGTCGAGTAGTCGCAAAATGACAGAATCTCCACTAGTGTAGTGTGCGGAAGATCGGGMAACGGCACCTGCGTGTGCTCTTTTGGCACTCTTGTGTCCGTCCTATCACTAGTGGGGACACCAATCCCGTTCGGTTTTGCTTGTTTTCTGCTTCGTCGCCTGAATCTCGCCTGCATTTTCTTCCAGCCTCTCGGTGCTGTTATCTTTTCATCACCGCCTCGCTTGTCGTGAATGCGTAGGTTGAGATCAAACTGACTTCGGATTCCATGAACGAAGGAGCTCCGCCTGCTCCGCTGCCTTTTAAGGCTTGGCATAAATGCGGGTGTCAGCCGATCCATCGACATTTGTTCTTTGGTTCAGTCGGTTGCCTAATCGCTCAAAAATCCTGTACWGTTGCGTTTTTTCTGAAGCAAGGTCGCTTTTTGTGTTCCTTGATTTGTTTTTCTTCGACTTCGAACTGTCTATGCTTATTGGTGGCCTAATGACCAAATACTGACAAGAATGGTTGGTATCGATTTTGTTGTGATTGTGTTTTGTTGATGACGTTCACTAGAATAGATGGATGTAACTGTACGAGACTGTACTTTCATTCACACGTTCCGTAGACTAATTTTTGTCACCGGTTTTTCCCTCTGAATTTGATGTTGAAACTCAGTCTTACAAACCCTCGTCGAAGAAAAATGAGAATTCTTCCAGTATTTTGACACCAACCGTCCCCTTGGCAGGTTTCCGTTACACACTTAAAAGGATATAAATATGCGCATTTTGAAATACTGACGTTGCCAACGCAACTGCCCTACCAGAAAGTCAATCTGGTTCGCGCAGCAGTAAGTGACTGCTGTGATTCTTCTCAACATCTAGTCAGCGAACTTATGCTGGGTTCGCGAAGCAGTTTCAGTGGCAATCGCATTTACGTGTACACAATTCCAGGTTTTGAATTTTCGTGAGCGTCCCATCGCCAACATCAATAAAAAAATTAAACGGTGATGACACACACGTTCTTCTCCTCCCGATGCTACGGGACTATCAGTGCTCGTAACATTTAATTGGAAGAACAGAAGGGAAGCAGTCCACCAGTATCATTGGTCGCAATCATGAGCCAAATTACTGGTTGATCAACCAACGGAGTCAAACAAATTAATCCAGTGGATCAGCCTTCATTATTTTTCTTCTAATCTTCATCATGTACTACTACTTCTTACAAAATACCTTAAATTTATTTGCCATGTATTTAACCTCATGAACTAGTGCTACTACTGGTACTACTACTACTACTAGTACTACTAGTACTAGTACTACTAGAACCATTAATTGGCTAAGGTGCTGCACTGGACTAGTACTAGTACTAGTACTACTACTACTAGTAGTAGTAGAATCACTTTTGCAATGGATACGTACGTACTGTATCGAAAGTATACGTACGTAAGATACGAGGCTCCGAAGAAAGGAATGAATGATCATATCATTCCTACGTACCTATCGTAAGGTACTGTTCATATCTATGTATCATAGGATCCATCGTAAGAGGTCCAAGGATCGTAAGAGACCCAAGGATCGTAAGAGGTCCAAGATATCAAGAGTTAGAATATCTTACGAAGAACATAGACGTCACGAGTCCGGAATAGAAGAACCTCCATGTAGATTC